TCTCTGCATGATTTGTTAGCCCCATTTAAACTACAGTTTTATGTGCTCCCTGCCCGAAAACACTTGAGCCATGTCATGAAGTGTTTGATCGTTATCTAATGAGGTGAATCAGGTATGTCAGAGCGTCTGCAGAACAGGATATGCTGTAAAATCAGAATACTACATTTCTTTCACCACAAATGATGCCATGATTAGTGTTTAGATGGTGTATTGTTGAGATATGTCGTTTTTTGTGACATTTAGTAACATAATTTAAAGGTCCTATACTCATTTTTTTTGAACTTTTTTTTACTCATTCAAGTTTTTGTTTTAAACCATATATCTAAGCGAACAACCCTTTAGACACCTTTATTTTTAAGCATATTAGACTAATGTGTGTTGTTTATATATGTGCTGAGATTCAAATTACACTATATTGTTATTGTGGACACTTTGAAACATCATCACTGCTTTTTAGTCAAACAAGTTGCAGTTTCAACAGAGATTTTTAGATGTGCAGAGTAGCTCTGGTTTCACAAGGTCACATTGTGATCGCATATTTTATTTGATGTTTGTACAGCTGTTTTTTGTGTGTTATTGGCTTGAGCACCTTCACGGCTCATGAGTAATGGTTGCAATGCTATCCTTTCATACTCAGTGTGCTACCTAGAGTGAAAAAAATCTTGGAGGAACTAAAGACATGATGCCCAAGACTGTTAAAATGCTGTGCCATTATACAAAGAACCTTTTGAGAATTTTTTTTTTTATATAACCACCAACATATTTTATGAATTTTCTTAGAAAGGAAAGGAAAAAAAAACAACCTGTTAATTCATGTTAATGCAAAGTTACTTTATATTTAAAAAAAAATAATAAAATAAAATAGCATGTACAAAATTTGGATACCATTCCAGTCTTCCAAGTCTCAGACCTTAATTAACTTAAGCCTTTAATGACTAGGCAGGTCAAGAACTGTCATTAGGAATTGTCTTCAGCAGACAATTTCACATGACAATTCTTGACATGCCTAGTATGCTACCAGAGCATAATAAATTCTCTGACTCTTCAAACCTTGTGCAACCATGGGCTCCTCCTTACTGACCTGACTGTGGATCTGAAAATACAGCTAACTGATGCCTATAAAACAGAGGAAGGTTAAAAAAGATATCAAAGCGCTTCCAGCTTGCAATTTTAGAATGAGGTCAAAATACTTGTTTGCTCCTCATAAAATTAAAGCAAAGCATGTTACAGCAAAGGACCTGCAGGAAGGTCTACCTGACCCAGGAGCAGTGATGCACTGTTCTAATGTGTAGTGTTGCTTGCACAAACAGTTGTGTGGCAGCCAGTGGCAAAGAAAACATTGCACAGGTATGTGGAGGAATGGATTCCACTAAAAATCAGCAAGTTCTGGAAGAAATGTGACACATTCAGGTAAGTTCAAGAGGCTGGCTTATACAACAGGACAATGATCCAAAACATATCTCAACATCCACAAAAAACTACTTCAAGAAACGCGAGCTGAAGTCTTTATAAAACCCCTTATAGTCCATTGACTTAAACATCACTGAAAACTGAAAAAGTAGATTTTAACCATGCTGCACATGCAAGATGGCCCAAGAATTTATCTGAAATAGAAGAGGGCTGCAAGACAGAGTGGGTGAAATTTCCTAAAGAAGAATAGAATGACTGAGCTGCTGTTTTGATATCTACCAAGGAGGTTGTAGTAAGTACTGACATGTCAACAAAATGACTTTTTTTTTCTTTTCATGTTAATCTAATATGAGGTAACTGCATAAACATTTGCATTAAACAGTCGCACTGTTATCTCAAAAATATATATATTTTTTTCTAAGTACAATATCCCGATAACATGGTAAAAACTGGTAAAATGTTAGGGAATTGGCTATGGGCACATGCCTATTGTGTAGCATGTGATTACTTTGAAGAAAAGGGAAATATTTAAGGTCGCGTCGCATTGAGAATGATGCACATGTACTGAACTCATTAGAATCGTGGCTCTGTGCCACACAGAAGGCCTCCATACAATAGTCCTGTCCCTTTAAACCTGTGAAAGTTCCTTCCTGATGCAAACAGTGCCAGAATAGTAATGGACTTTATTCTGTCTTTCTACAGCGAGTGATTCGATCGACTCCAAGTTTTGATTTAGTGAGTTATCTATACGTCTGTTTGATTGAGCTTTCCTGGTCTTGAAATATTTGCAAAGGAAAGCATCTACAGAGACGAAACGTCAGCTAAAGTGTTAATGTGAATCATGCCTCAAGAGAATAGAAAAGGACCATGAAATGAAATTTAACGTGATTATAAGCGATCACCGTTTTTAATGCAGTAAGCTACAATACACTTCTGAAGCCACATTCAGAAAAGAAATCGTTAAAAAAATTACTGACAATATACCAATATGTTTTATTTTTATTAGGCTATGAGTGTATGAGACTCTTTTTTGCTCTGATGTGGTCGTGTCTGAAAAACAGCTCCAGCAGGCTTATATGAGGTGAATTCTAATCTCATTGTAATATGGTACAATTTGTTAGATATTGTGGGACACGCATGTCGTATTCGCCGATTACCAAAACCAATAAAAAGCCAAAGTAATGTTTAGATGCCAATGTTCATTTCATTTAAGCATTAGCTGAAAATGGACCAAAAAAGAGTGTGTGTCCCTACTGCCTGAAGTCCCATAACACCTAAAAGCACTCTACAAATAAATACATAACTGTATGTATGAAGAAAAAAGAAAAAGAAAGAAGACCGGTCACAAAAACAAACGGGCAATCAACCAAGATAGATAGATAGATAGATAGATAGATAGATAGATGTTTGTATAATATAAAAGCACATAATTTCACACTAGACTCTTAAAGCTGTCCTCCAACGGTTCTTTAGCTAGAAATCTACATAGATAGAACCATTTTTAGAACCATGAAACTATTTGAAGGCATAAATGGATCTTTGTGTGGGTAAATGATTTGAACTAAAAGGGGTGTCGTTATTGTCAAAAGTACAACCTTTTTCTGGAACTACATAAAATCCTTTTTTGCTTAGAATGTACACATATTTGCACATAATAATTTATTTACTGTAAATGCCACAGCGCATGCTTGTTTAAAGCTTCCTGTGCTGAAAGTAGCATTATTCCCAAAGGCTACCTGCTTGCTTAGCGCAAGGGCAGGTCAGCAGTGGCTGGTTAGTGCCGACTCATGCAGGCCTCGCGCTGCTCTACTGGACACTGCTGTGGCCAGAGCTTCTGTCTGCGAGCACCTGGCCTGCAGTGCGTGCTCAGGCTCTGCGCGTCTCCCACATCCTCTTCCCTGGATTGTTTTGACTGCTCGATCGAGGGCGAACCTTACATTTCATCTCTAAATTTAAACCGGAAAAGTGTCACTCGAAAACAGCGCGGTAGGAGGCAGTCAGGGTCGCGGAGCTTTCCTGCAATGAATCAGGCGTAATGAACGTCTCAAAAGCAGGAGATCACCAAACATTTGTTAAAACACTTCAGTATAAATTCATCTGTTGTCGCTATTATACATGTGACGCGGACAGCCGTCAAGCACGCTAATTTTAATATTAAAAGAGTAATTAAAAATCAATACGCAACCAACATCTGCACAGGAAAATCATAGGGGTTAAATTAACTGTAGTGTTAAAGTAAACTAGAGTAAAGTAATTGGAAACTATTGAGCAGGTTATATTTATTTATTTATTCATTTGTTTGTTTGTTTCTTTTAAATATTATTACTAAAACTACTACTACTCCTACTGCTACTACTACTACTACTACTACTACTACTACTACTAATAATAATAATAATAATAATAATAAAAATAATGATCAACATAATCATCGTCGTCATCATCATCATCATCATTTGCTATTGTTATTGACATTCCCAATTCTCCCAAGTTCTAATTGTAGCCCAATAATAATAGGAGAGTGATGGCTTGCGCTTGTACATATGGATGAAGTGTCGCCTCTGAAGTTAATTGTGTTTTCGTTTCGGTGGAGAATAGATTTCCTCTGTTTATTATAAGCATAGAGACGGATTTGCGTCACCATGCAACTTGCAGGTTGAGATAAAGTTGCACAAATATTGAAAAAAGGAAGTGCCAGCAGTCATTATAAAGTCCCCCCTCCCCGCGCCGGAGGAAATAAGAACCTCTGCTGTATCCTAAAATACTGAAGCATCTTCTATTTTGGGATAAATCTAGCAGGAATATCCGCTCATTTAGGCTTGAATCAGAGCCCATCAAAAACAGGATGACCTGCATCGAGAAACTCCTGTTTCCTAATCTCACAGCGAGCCAACAAGGAGCCAAAGCGCCGCACTGCTCTTAAAGCACACAAAACTATTGAAAAAAAGACTGACATTTTTAAACTAGGTTATGAATGTGATTTTGGCAATTTCGAAATATTTTGGTCTACGTTTGTTTGCTTATCATGTGTTCGTTTTAAAAACGATTTAAATGGTCGGATTTGCCACTTTGTGGCTTGGTTTTAAATTTATTTTAGTGATTTTATTTTATGAATCTGAATAAAAAATGTAAACGATTTTAAAATAAAATTAAATTCTAAACAATTTTATCCACAAACACTCTAACAAAAACACTTGTTGCTTGCAGGTTTTGTTAAGCGTTTTAAATTATTTTTGTTTTTGTTTTTTTTTAAACAGAGCTGACCTAAAGGGTAATAAAGGTAAAATATAGGTCAAGTGTGCACATCGCATTAATAGCGTAGACCTGGATCTAATTCGAAAATAATGTTGATATAATCCGCTGCTGATTCTGCGGTCTGTTTGCAATCTTTGGTATACTCTCTTTCTTTCTTTCTTTCTCAAAACATCCAGAGTCTGCGCAAGCGTTCGCTCGGTTTCTATTGGCTAAACAGGAGCCAATCAACATGCGAAACTCTCGAACTCGCGAGAAACCAATCAATAACTGAACTTTCATTGGCTAAGAGTGAGCCAATCAATGTCTGAGTAGAAACTTCAGTGTAGAACTTCTGGGACTGCAAGCTGGAGTTTTCATACTTGCCGAGAACGTTTCTGGCGTGGCGTGAAAGACAGGCAACTCTTTGAATTCGCTTACAGTCACTACACATACTTTATGTCGTGATTCCCTCCTTTTTTCTTTCATCGATAAAGAAGAGTCGAGTGAAAAAAACGAGGATGTACACGACCGGACTGAATCCCTTCTACGCGTCCAATTTCAGCCTATGGTCTGCGTATTGTTCGGGTGGCTTCGCCATGGATACGATGAAAAAGCCGTCATTTTGTATCGCAGATATACTGCACGTTGGAGACGCTGAGAACATTCCTGGCTCCTCTGCACTTATGGCCCACATGGGCGCCCGGGCTCAGGTCCATTCTTCTGGATCTCCGCTCCGGCCGGCCCCGCTTGCTCCAGAGGCGGCCGTGTTCGGAGCGAGGGTGAACACTGCCCCTGCTTACCACAGGCACGGACTACACTTGACCTCTGTAGCCAGAACAGCCCTCAACTCCCAGTCAGCACCACCACCGTCCAGCAAAGATCTCAAGTTCGGCATCGATCGGATATTATCTACAGAATTCGAGCCGAAATCTAAAGAATCGTCTTCACTAAGAGGTAAGATGCTGCGGGGTGACGAATTGTGGGTTGATTTGTTCTTGGCTGTGACCTACAAGTAATGCTAAATATTAATATATAACATTATCAAGTGCTAAATTTGACATGGTCAGAATATTTTAAACGACAGGGGTATTTAGAGCAGGTTAATCTGTCAAAGCGGTGGCTAAACTAGAACCCCTAGTAAGTCCCGTCAGAAAGTGACGTTGGGGGATGATTTTGACCTGGACCACTTTTATTGCCGTTAGAGCAAGGTAAAAAGACAGGCCATATGAGTTAATAAAGTTACCTAAAATATCTAGGGCCAGTTATTGAATAATAAAAAGGTTGCATGAAATGTTTTGAGTTTCCCAGACCCAGGTTAAGCCTAAGTATATTGTAAAAATAATTTTTAGTGATGAATCATTATTAGCACTGTAATATAGACCAATAGGCTTAATCTAGGTTCTAGAAATCGGCCCATAAAGTTTTCGTTTTTCATAAATTTGATTTACATCGTTTATTTGATTACATTAAAAATAAAAAAATATTGGTTTCTTTCGTCTTGTAACAGATCTCACGTCCATTGTTAGCTCCACACGCCAGTCAGCAGGTCATGTCTCCGTGCAGCCGAGCCAGTACTTCGCATCCTTAGACCCGGAGATGAGCGATGCCTCTTCCATGATGGGCTCCATAGGCAGTGCCTCCAGGCAATCAGGCCAGCATCAGTACCAGGATACTTTCCCAGGTGCTGTAGCAATCCCCCTCCCAACTCAACCAACCAAGGCCTTTTAAATATATCCACAGCTTTGCACTGTTACAGTGAGAAATATAGCGTATGAGCTGTAAACTGTTTTATCGAACTTGTAAGTAATTATGAGATTTCAACTCGTAAAGTGTGTTATATAATATTTGGTCTACAGTAATTACAAATGCTAAAAACTAGCAAATACAAATAACGCAGCTTAACCAGTGATTTTTTTGTCCATCCTTTAGGGCCCTACGCAGTCCTAACCAAAGACACGATGCCGCAGACCTACAAGAGAAAAAGGTCCTGGTCCAGAGCTGTGTTTTCCAATCTACAGAGAAAGGGGCTCGAAAAGCGTTTTGAGATCCAGAAGTACGTCACGAAACCGGACCGGAAGCAGCTGGCTGCGATGCTGGGCCTCACAGATGCTCAGGTAGGCTGTAGGAGAGAACGTGGCTGTCAGTGGACTTCAGCTTACTGTTTGCTTGATTATCTGAGCATAAATAGCAATAACACTGAAAAAAGCGGTGCTTTTTTAATTTATATGATTTAAATGTAAATAAAAACGTGTTACATCAACATAGTTCTGAAAGACAGCAAATGCAATGATGTTAACAATTTTGAATCAGTGGCGTAACTATTGGAAGTGCAAATGACCCGTAACACGGAAGGGGGTGTTGAGGTGCATGGTCGGCCGTGCCACCTGTCTTTATTGGACCCCTTACAACTCACACAATTTAAAACCTATAACTACAATACCTTAATAACATACTTTAACCATTAGCATACTGGAATACAAACTGGGTCATAAAATGTGAATAGCGACCAAACAGGCCATTCTTTAAACCCCTTTGTGCCCAAAGTTTCCTTGTATTTTACATTCACTGCTACACTACAAGTAATCCATTTAAACAGAACCAACACCTATTTTCCCTCTTCGTACATTTGTGTTCTTTGATGTGTGACTCTTTAAAAAGGTATATTACACTTTACGAAGTCTTCATAAGAGATGGGCATGCACTGTTAGTTGCCAGTGGGTTTAAATAATTAATCATTTGGGTTACTTCACTGATTTGAGTCATGCAAATTTGTATCTACTGAGACGTAAGCTAATGTATAAACATGTCACATGATGTCCAAAGGCAGTAAGAGCTTGGTGCATCAATAAAAGGCAGACAGAAGAAAGTTGTCTCATGACGTTGCGAAATACAAATTCCTAGGGAAATGAAAGTCGATTATTGCAAATGATGAAAGGTCATAACAGTGTGTCATTGTGAAACGTTCCGTCTTATGTTACATGATGTAGTCTTTTGTCGTTAGGAACTTGTAAAACGCAGAAACGTTTGTTTTTTTTCAGTCAGAAATATACATCGCCATGACAGGCCTAATGATTTCATATTTTCCGAACAAAGCCTTCTGTTTCTTCGGTTAACCCCTACAGATAGGCTTAGCACTTTCATGTCAGCGCACAGGCTGCTCGTTACTGTGGTAAAGCTGATACCTCATGGGCCTTCATGGTGGGCACTTATATCAGTCAAGGCTTTTGCATTCACGTTGTAAAGCCGTTTACAGCAGTGCGTTAAACTCTGCGTTTATGTTCAGGTCAAAGTGTGGTTCCAGAACCGCCGGATGAAATGGAGACATTCCAAAGAGGCCCAAGCGCAGAAGGATAAAGAGAAGGAGCAGGCGGACAAGTCAGCCACTGAAGCCGAGCAGAAAACACATGAGGATTCAGAGGGAGAGAGCGAGCCCAGCGAGTCTGAGCTGGAGGACGAAGCCGAGGACAAACGAGACAGAGCCGATTCTGAACTGAGCAAAGCCAGCGTCATCATGGCCGGACCACTTCCAGTAAATACGGACGAAACAGCGACCACAAACAGCGCAGCTACAGACTCACCTACACCATCACAAATGCTCTTATGAACCCGACCTCAGTCAAATCCGACCAGTACTGAACTCTTATGACCGCTAAGATCTGGTTAATAAGCGTCTTGAAGGAGAGAGAGAGAGAGAGAGAGAGAGAGAGCAGTCCGCTTGGCTCATCCTGTGAAGTCCACTTCCACCTGGCCTCTGATGCCACTAACAAGCTAATTTTTGAGAGGGAAAAAAATACGCTCTTTGTTGTAAATATTCGCCTGAACCACTTTTGTTGTTCACCTCATGAGCGTCTGGGAATGTTAAATGTTATCTTAAAGTTGAGGAACCTGATTGTAACACACACACATATATATATATATATATATATATATATATATATGTGTGTGTGTGTGTGTGTGTGTGTATATATATATATATTGTTAGTAGGTATTTGCACTGAAGATGTAAATAAAAGTGTTACTTTAATTCTTATGGAAATTATTGACATGAAGGCAGAGTAATTTAGGGCTAAATAAAATAATCAAATATAAATAGACGATGTACAGTTATAATAATGATATCAAAATCAATTCAGGTATATGAAAAAATATATAATAATCATAACACGTTATATCGTATTATTATTATTATTATATTATTATTATTAATGTTAGCTCATTCTACATACGAAAAATAAAAATGTACATATTTAGATTCCTGAGTCTTTCCACCATCACACACCGCTCACAGCTTTTGCAGTATAGAATTGTCGCTATATCTCACGTCTGCTAAAGCATTGTCCTTGAAATATTTTAACTAAAATGCCCGTGCAAGTATGCAAGCAAACAATTCCAACTATCCTCCCGACTGACCATGCTAGCTTTATGACCATCTGAGCTTTATAGCCGTAATTTTATTCCATATTTGTTAAATACCCAGATCATAAGGCCATGATAAATTGCAAACTTGACGTCTTTGGCCAGTAGGACCCTTTTGAAACAGTCTAATGTAATTCTGCTAAGACCCTTTCTCTCTGAAAAATGTTAGTTGAGGAAATTTGGCGTCTAACAATAAACAGAAAGCGAAAAGGGAGGATTTATAGTTTGTGTAGATTTACTGGCTCCAGATATCAGCAACAGAAAGGATGAGTATGCTTTATGAATCCAGGCTCAGATCTGCGAATGAAAGCCTACTCCATTTATGGACTCCGCTCGCTTCTACCACAAGCGCAATGACAGGCAATGAGGCTGCTTGTTTAATGTCAGAGTCTGTATTAAACAGCTAGTTTGGAGATTATGACACTGTAACGCAGGATCAATTAAATGCAGCTTATACACGTGGCCTGCTTACAAAACTGTGAATAAAACAAACGAGGGCCGAGTAGCTACAGTTGTCTTTATTAATTGTTCTACATAAGATAATCATCGTCCTACATTGATGTCTAACTATAAACAATGTGTTCACCAAAGCTTTTCAGTACCTACTCAAGAACCTTGTTTTGCAGTTAGGTCACATAAAGAAAAATCCTGTTGCACCACTATCAAAACAGCCTATGCAAACAGAAGAATGAGAGTGAGCAGGAAAGTCTATTGCAAACCCAAGCAGCAACTCATCACTCATAAGACTCAGTGACTCTTGTGAATAGAGTATAATAACGTGGGTCAGTCCACCACAAAAAGGTGTCCTGTCCATAAGCCACATGAAGAGTCTGTCAAGTGCTTGAGAATAATTTGATTTGAAAAGACAACCATACATCTGGAATGGCTCATCATTTTTTAATTCCACTGCAAAAAGTAAAATAAAATCTGTCAGTGAGGCAAAGAGTAGGAGATTGAAGACAAAACAATTCTATGAGTGTGTGTGTCTGTGTTTTTAAAACTGAGACAGAAAAATAACCTATTTTTGTTTTTGGTGTTGATTACTGAAGTTAAGTTAGATTTAAGGTTATTACATATAGGTTCTTAGCATACAATACAGTGCAAAAGTCAATGACCACTCTTCATTTATTTCCAATTATCCGTCATGTGCAAGTTATGTATTGTTCAGATGTTATTAGTTAGATTAGTTATAAGATAACTTACATAAATGATTGGGAAAGTTAAAAAATGTTTTCACGACTGGAGCTCAAAAACTATTTAAAAATATAAAGAAAATGGGACTCCTAAACTGTCACCGTGACAAAGAGATAGGATAGGATACCTCAAGCTCCATTCTTGCTTCAGATCTGGAAACATAATGTGTCTCCACTGTGAGATGACATGTCAACTCAACACAAATGTGTCGCTTTCAAGAAGCCATTGAGGCGCTACACAAAGAAAATAGACAAAAAAGACAAGATCATCAACAAGGAGGCCTCTGTTCAGTGAACATCCTCCAGACTACAATCTGTGCACTATATTATTTAAGATTATTTAAGGCCTGTGCTTATCACTTGGAACCAATCACATTACAACTTTTGGACTGCTTTTATCATAATGCATGCAATGCTATTTCCAAGTTCAACTGTTTTGACTTTCTGCCGCTGACATACCATGTCTTCAGTAATCTCAGTTGGCTGCTTTAAACCTATGATATCAAACATACAGTGTTTCAGGATAAAAGAGAGAAAGAGAAATGGGTTAATTGACTGTGTTAAACAAAGTAATAAAGTTGAGATCGTTTGGGCCAGGTATGAGTGCTTTTCCATTCACCTCACTAAATTGCTATGAGTATCTTAGGAATAGCAGAAGAGAGAGGGAGAAAGAAAGGGAGAGAGAGATGGGGAACATCTCTATAAAGGAGAGCTCTGCCGGGGAATAACTTTCTTTTGTGAATGACTTCACCAAAGACCACCAGAAGCACTTTCTACCATGGGGTCTACTTTCTTCTCCTCCGGAAAGAGGGATGACCTCTTGAGATTGCCAGTTTTTCCGCTTAAGACCACATATTGAATTCCACTTCAGCGTTTAACCATCCCCCTCCTTCTCCGCGGGCTCCCTTTCCATTTCATGCAGGAGAACTTTTTATACAAAAAACACTGTCCAAATGTATTTCTCTGACTTAATGCAATAGGTAAGGGGCACATAATCATTTTATGGCTACTAAGTCCCATTCATTCAGTCATAGCTGATGATGACGACTTGTTTTGGCTCTACATTTGCAAACTGAAGTCAATTTTTTTCCATGGAAACCTCATGGCTAAGGCCACTTTATCAACATTTGAGGTGTACTGTTGCCTGCCTCTCTAACTCTATAACTCACAAAAATTGCATGGGTCAGCGTGCATGAGTGTGAATCTCAAATTATCCTCTGCAAAGCTATGAATTATGGTTGCATGTGCAAACATAAAATAACAATAACAGTCCAGACACTTAACATAATACTACAGGTTTTGATTTGTGAGGTGTCTTAAGAACTTTTTTTTACGTCCAGCATAGGAGAAAGCCCATCTGGGTGTGTATTTAATGTCATTCTGCACCATTAAAAGAGATTTTCATGTGGCCCTGTGACCCGAGCAGGACAATGCAGGAGCTGAACGGCTTAACAGATTTCCCCTCACAACTTAAACATTTTTTAAAAAGTGTCTGCTTCAAATAAATTATTGCACTGTGTTTTGCTTCAAAACACATTAGCTCAGGGATAAGCCTGACTTAGAGACTGTGATCTAACTGCTGCTTTGAGGAATTAACTGAGAAAATGCTTGATAAACTGACAGAGATTGTCTAATTCAAAGATTTTCTCAGGGATGGTACAAGCATTCAAGTCTCTGTAATGAATCAAGCTTGAACTGTTTCGATGTTTTCCTATCCTAGGCTCCTTTTTACAACTTTAATATCGCTGTTGTTAGAACAAGAACTTTTATCTCCAAAATGAGAACTGTGCAGGAGCAGGAAAAAACATACTCTACTTTTAATGTAAGTCAATGGACTTTTTTCCAAGTAAATTTGGGTGATTTCTGTTGGTCCATTCATCATGAAATTTACACACAGTGTAAAGAGCAAAAGGTACTTTCAAATTATGTCAAAAACTGAAAAACAACAAAAATGAAGATACGAGGTATTGTTCCGACAGCAGCGATATGTACCTAAGCTGCTTACATTTTAATCGCATTGCTAAAACTCTTAGTATAACAGGTCATTGAGGTCAAACTTCTGTTTATTTATATTTAGTATCCATACAAATAATAGAATCCAAAAATAAACATTAAAATTCATATATATAAATGACACCCAATATCCCCCACTTGGAGTATCTGACATGTGCACGCAATGACTGATCTCTCACTATGTCGTTATCAGTTTAAACATTTCATATGTTCGATGACCCTAATACAGTTCATGACATGAATCAAACACATAGTTCACAGTAACTTTATGGATAGTAACATGCTGAATGTTATATGATGTGCTTGGAAAATTCCAGAGGTGAGGGTCAGCAATATGAAAACTGGCAATATGTGTACATCTAAATTGTGTTTTATTTCATTTAGTGAACTTATGAAACACTATAATGTTTTCATCATGTGTATCTGTTTTAGAGGGTAAAGAAAAAGTGTTTTCACACAAGCAAGACTCTCCTAAAAATAGTCTCGCTATACTTTATGGAATGTTTTACATTTAATTTAACAACCTGCTAAAATGATTCAATAAGCATGTGAAATTAGTGAAATTAAATTGTTTGCTTTAACCCCTTACTGGCTTCTGGCTTGTTGTTCAGCTATCATAAAGCCTCTCATTTAGCAATACTGTGAGACTAATGTGTTTTGTAGTTTTGAAAGTGAGGAAGTTATGAAACCACCCACAGTTTCAAAGAGTTAAATGGGCTAAAATTCCTAGAAGGGTAATTATACTGTTTTGTCATGACTGAATCATTTGAAAATGACAGTTATGGATTGCAAATCAGAACTGAATCTAATTAAAAACTCAAAAAAGTATTCAGTATAGTATCAAGTTCCTCACTTATATGTTGTCATCTCATGAAAACTGAAAGAAACTGCAATGAGCTTTTTCACCAAAGCCTTAATCTCTCTCACCTCTCTTTTTGGCAACAATGAAAAAAGAAAAAGCATATTTAGTACAGATAGAGACAGAGACTGTTCATTTTAAGTACATCCTGACACTGTTTTTACCACCAAGCATAAATATAGAGTGTTTATGCTCAATGATCAGCAACAGTAGGCCTGTAAAAATATAACGTATTTTACAGGTTAAGTGCATATTCATGTAAAACAAGGATGTTGTTACAAATGTTTCTTCTTATTTTTAATGTCCTCAAAAATGGTCATGTTGCCATGTAAGTGTAATCCCGGCTTATACATTGTTCTCTACCCTGGAATATTCTAAGAATATTATAAAGGACAGAGTATAGCTATAATATTCTGGAACTACTTTGTAAGCTCAAGTCCAATCTGCACATGTTCACCTTAGCTGAAAACTGATCTGCACACACAGGAGCTGTCGCCACGTTCTGAAAACGGCACGTTATTGAGTGCTTTTCTAACATGGTTGCAGTTTCCAAGCAACTTGGCTTTGCTTTCCAAAAACCAAGTTCTTGCCAGCCAGTTGGGAGAGGGCGAGGGAAAAAAAGCGGCTAAGAGGCATCTAAAGTTAAATTTAAAGATGTGTTTCTCTTGGACGCCTGTCTGCGCAACCATAAACCAAGGGAGACATTTTCATACTCGACATTTTTCATGGTTTTGCTCCGAGTTTCCTCCCTTCCTTTCTCACTCCACCTTGGCTCCAGTTACCTACTGCTATACCGCCTACTAGACCACAGTGGAAGGGGCATCAGCTCCTTGTGAAAAAACCCAGTTGTGAGCCCCCACCCGCCTTGCACAGTGGCCCCCGTCTTTGGACGGAGCCTGGTTGTCCTTGGACCACTTTCTGACTCGGGGAACCCTCTGAGACTTCACCACCTGGATGCTGACTACTGAGGAACCCTTTCATCGCCCACCTTATTTTAAAGTAATGCCTTGCATGCACACTTAAGTCTAATCACCATTTGTTATTGGTACTAATCTAAAGGCTCCCAAGGCCTTCCACTCTTATTTTTATATGGCAATAAACGGCCCATATTCAAGATCCTGGATGTTTGGAAAACTGGGCAGTGGTTTTCCTGCCAACTTTGTGGCATATCATCATTTGCAAAAATTGCTTGTAGTTTGTTATTAATTAGTGCTTAGTGCTCCTCCATAAGAGATTCATCATATGACCTGTCTGGCTCCATAGCAATTGTATTTGTGGACTTTTCACCAATGATTATAACCACATTTGGACTGCCTGCTGTGATGTAAAAACAAAGATCGGGAACCAAATTACTGTCATCAAAGGTGGAACAGAAATGACATTCAACAATTTTTCTATAATTGAGTTGCCTATGGCTTTAGGATTTGCAGCTCCTTTCAACTAAAGCGATCTTGCAGTTTAGCCATGGCCTTGCCATGAATTTCGTCACCTTATGGGTATTTTTGATTCACGTCAGACAACTCCATCCCAAGAAGGTCAGTTAACCCCTCACCAAATGAAAAGTCTGTTTGGAGCAATAGCCCACATGTGTATGTGCCTATTTCATATACACAAACACAACACAAACTTTGAAGCAAATTATTTTTAAAAATAACAGGTTTCTTCAAATGTTAATGTGCAGTAACTTTATATTTGATGAGCTAAGTAAAAAAGAGAAAAAATAAAATCTATTTAAGTTTGAACACCCTTCCGGTTGTAGGGTCTCAGAATGGAATTAACTTGTTAGGCCTTAAGTGACTCATTAGGATAGGTTAAGCAGATCAAGAATTGCAGGAAGGTTTAGCTTGAGTGGTGGTGCATCATTCTACTCTGCAGTGTGGCTCGCACAAACATGTCTGCATGGAAGAGTCATCAGAAGGAAACCTTCTCTGCGACTTCAACGTAAAGGTCAATGTCTGAAGTATGCAAATCAACATCTAGATAAGCTAGATGCATTTTGGAGGGAAAGTGCTGTGGATTAATGAGGTAAAAATTAAACTCTGGTCACAATCACCAAAGGTATGTTTGGAAACAAAAGGAACAGCAGTTGATGAAAAGACCACCTTGATAGCTGTTAAGCATTAGAGTCTATCTATTACGCTTTGGGGTTATGTGACAGCTAGTGGCACAATAAACATTGCTGCATGAGTAGATGGAAGAATGGATTCCACTAAATATCAGCAAATTCTGGAAGTAAATGTGTCACAGTCAGTCCAGAAAGTGAAGCTGAAAAGAGGCTGGCTTCTACAACAGGACAATAATCTAAAGCATACCTCAAATCCACCCTGAACTTTGAGAAATGCAAGCTTTTTAAATGGCCCTCAAAGTTAAAAGTCATGGAACTAGAAGCATTCTGTAAGAATGAGTAGGTGAAAATGACTCCAAACTGGCTACAAAAAGCATTTACAAGCTGTGATAAATTTGTGGGGAGCAAATTAATGTTTTATTTCACTTGCCTGCAAAAGCCCAAAATTTACCAGCTGCTTTCTGTCAATACACAATTTTTCTATCATACAATATTGGTTTTCAATCAGGCAGCCAGTGACTCAGACACATCAACTCTTGTAGGCTGGCTCACTGAGCAATCCAGGAAAAGTAATCCGTATAATCAAATGTAATAAAATATGTCACACAATTATGTTTCTCAGCTAACTCGCATTATATTTATGTCCCCTGTTTTATTTTAAAAATCCTTTCCTTAAGACTACTTCTACGCATGGAAAATGGACTTTATAAGAATGTGGCATCTATAAAACATTATCAGCATAGCAAAATTTGGTGAGTAGAAAAAACTTTTACTAATCTATAGCATTTCACCATAGAATTAGTTGCAGCTACATGTCTGTTGTCATAGTGGTAACTGTACTTCTGCTATGTCCTTTGTGCAACATTTGAGGTTTTCTCATATCCTCATTTTCAGTTTATCATGAAATACAGACAGATTAATTTGGGGAAGGGGTGGTGAGGGATAAAACAAAAACTCCATCCAGATAAACAAAAAAAAAAAAATAAAAAAAATAAAAAATCTATCCCAGAAAAAGCATATTAGAAAAGTACTGCCTATTAATAGTAATGGAATCCTGTGCCATCAAATGTATAATGTATTGCTTTTGTTTAAACATTCAGCTGTTTGATTTTTCAAGTGCAAGTCTTTGGAAAGGAGTATAGAGACATTTGTTAAGAATCACTAGGCTCTTTCTAATAAATTGTTTGGACTACACCACTTATGTATAAATAAAAGAAGCAGAAACACATAGTGCATCTGATAATGATTTGTTTAGAGTGACCCACGTTTAAAAGCTATGGTAATGGTTTCTAAGTGTTGGGACCACCCTCCAGCTCCATCATGGCAGTACAAATGCATTAATTTCTCTTCAGTTCAGTGATAGCTCATTATTTGAGCATCAAATGCATTGACCATTGCACTGGTCAAACTCCATTGGTTGTATATGTGTGTGGGGGGTGTGTGTGTGTATGTGTGATAGCTCAGCTTGTTAAAGGGGAAGTAATGAGAACCAAGGCATTAGCTTAGTATGACTTGCGATTAGTGCTAAATTTGCCTAATAAGGTGCTGGCAACAATCATTAACCACAACAGTGTTGGGCCACACAAATGCAATGACATGCTGGCATAATTTTAATGCAGTAATTTTGCTAAACAAAACTTTGGTTTGGTATGCA